TGCTGAACCTTACATCGGTGAGAACTATGTCACGTGCTGCTCATACCTCCTCCGCACCAGCCCTAGGTCCTGGCTACCCTCTTGCAGGTGGTTCTTGGGACATGGGCATGCCACAGGTTTGGGCTATGGGACTACAGCATTTTAATGCTTTTAATCCCTTTTCCTAGTGCCCAGCCAGCTCCTTACCTCCCAGTGCACCCACCAGTGCTGGGGGAGAGACGTCTTAGCCAAATGGCTGGGGACAGCAGTGCCAAGCTGCCTTGCCAGGCTATGGGCACCTTCACTGGGTGGGCACAAGCCCAGGTTGAGCCCCCCCATGCCTGGAGCAGACTTCCAGCCCTGCTTAGCTCTAGTCCCCAGGTCCTGTCCAGCCTCTGGGCCAAGCAACGCTTTCCAGGCCACTGGCATGTCACTGGATCTAGGGGTCCCAGAGGGGCTCGCTTGGGGACAAGAAGAGGGAGGACTTTTGGATGCCCACAGCCAAGTGGCTGGTGGGGAAATACTTGTGGGAGATGCCTCCAGGGCCCTGGAGGATGGGAATGAGGAGGGATGGTGAAAATCCAGTGTTTACCCATCGCTCTGGCTTGGGAGGAGGCCAAGAGATTAATTTCCCCCCACCAATGATTCGGGGAAGTCTTTTGGCCACTCCTGCAAAGAGCAGTACAGGATGGGAGGTCTGGCCTGGGGCTGGGAACCGAGGATCCCATGATGGCTCCTGGGCGCCGGTGGTGTGACGATGCATTGGAAGGAGGAAGGGAAGAGCCGGTCTGAGTGGGGCGTTGCTTGCTGGACTGGGGAGTGACTCCGTTGCACAAGGCAGGAAGGGTGGTGTTTGGATCGTCCAGGGAAGCTCCCTAAGGTGGCAGTAGGGCAGGCGGAGGCAACAGGCAGCCAGCAGTTCCATATGGCAGGTTTGGTGACATCTGGAGAGGCATAGCATTAGTGAGGATGTCCCTGCCCCATGTCACTGCATTGTGTGATGGGGCGACAGGGCTGCTTGTCCCTGGGATGCTCCCATGCTGCCACCAACTGGGATCCCTGCTTGTCCCCAGCAGCGCAGGGTGGTAGGGTAGCAACCTGATGGTGGCATATGTCACCCTGTCACAGTGCCCAGACCACAGGGAGCATCTCCATGCCCCTGGCAACCTGGGGTGTTGGCAATGGAGCAGACCGTGGCCCCTTCAGAGGGTGGCCAAGGCTGGAGATGTCCCCACAGGCACTCCAGGAGCGCAGCTTGGCTCCGGCTGGTGCCAGCTCCTTTTGCCTTTGCTCCTTCCAGCCAGTGCCTGGGACCGCCACACCTCTACAGAAGCTACCCCACGGCCAGCCTCTCTGGCCCTGCCAGGACGGGGTTAGTGCCCTGCTCTTCTCCACTGCTACCTTCACAGGTTTCTCCTTGTCATTCCCATGGCTTTGGGGCAGCCAAATGTGTTTCAGGGGCTGCAGGCAGGCAGTGCTGCCCAGCCTCCTGGCCCCGTCTCACCCGGCCCTGCTGGCTGGTTAGACTGGCTGCCGGGGAGTCCTGGAAGAGGCAGACAGGTCTGGGCAGACCAGGCCTCCATCCTGGAACTCCTTTCTGTCTCAAGATGGGTGCCCGGCAGGCTGAGGCACCTAGGCAGACCCCGATGCTGTGTGCTGACCCCGGCTGCCTCAGATTTGCCCGCCTCTCTCCCCAGGAACCTCTCGCATTTCACCCCCACCGTGTCCCGCAAGACTGGCTCCAGGGTCAGTAGGATGTTCTCAATGTCCCACAAATCCCCACCACCCAAGGTGCCTCAGCCCAACCGCCTGGACGAGGTGTACGAAGCTCTCAAGAAGGGCCTGACGTAAGTGCTGGGGCTCCCCATGGCCAGGTGGTTGGAGGCAGGGAGCCCCTGAGGGGCACAGGGACAGCTTGCCATGGGTTGGGGTTGGCAGCTCTTCACTCTCACCAGGCAGGGACATGGCAGGTCTCCTGGGTGCAGTGCCTGAGGGTCCCGGAGCTGTGTGGGGTCCTACATCCCACCATGTCCCACATAGAGGCACGAGTGGCGTCCCTTGCCTGGGTGCTGGAGCAGGGATTGGGGGTGTGGGGCCAGATGTGCTGGGTTGGTGTGGTCTGTGGGTGGCAGGAGCCTGGGACACGATGTGCTAGCCTGACCCCCATGGTGTGGTTGCCCCCAGAGCCTACCTGGAGGTGCACCAGCTGGAACTGGAGAAGCTCAGCACCCAGATCCGCGAGTCCAAGAGGAATTCACGCCTGGTGAGTGTTGCTGGGAAGAGCCTTATGGGGAGTGGTGCTTTGGGCAGATGGCCGGGGTTGTGAGCACAGCTGGGGTCGCTCAGAGTCCATCTGTGTCCCAGGGCAGAGCCTGCTTCTGTGGGGATGTCAGGGGCCAGCCTGGGCTCTGGTGTTGGGCTGCACAGGGATCTTGTCCTACTGTCATGCACTCTCCAGCCCTGGCTGGGTGCTGCATGTCCCCGCCGACGTGCTATGGGTGGTGGGTGCAATACGCTGAGTCTCCTTGGGTAGGCAGAGCTGGCTTTGTGCTGCATCTTATCCCTCTCCTCTCTCCTCTAGGGCTTTCTCTACGATCTGGATAAGGTAAGAGGGATCAGTGCCCCATCCCCCTTGTCTCCCTAGCGCCTGGGACATCCTTCTTACCAGCCCCTCTCCGCTTGCACTGTCCCGCTGCCTGCCCCCCATCCCCTGAATGGCAGAGTCCCTGTGGGGTGGGATCAGGGCTCTGCGGGCGGGGTGGGTCTGGGCAGGGGATGAAGCAGAGACAGGCAGGGGCTTGTAACCTGCTTCTTGCAACCAAAAAGCTGTTGTTGGTGAGTGCTGAGCCTGGGTTAGCTCTGAGGCTAGGAGAAGAGCACCCCAGAGCCTGGCCTGTCTCCTGGGGGACCCTCTGGACCAGGGGAGGCTGGAAGATGCTGCAGCACATGGGTGCAAGCACAGCCTCTGCTCCACTCACTGCCGGCCGCCCCCCAGCCCCCAGGGCTGGTGACCAGGACCTGTCCCAGCCGCAGCACGGGCACATAACAGGGCACATCCTGACCTGCAGCAACTCTGCGGAGGGGTTGGGCTGCCACTCATGCCATGTCCTCTGCTTTTCCAGCAAGTGAAGTCAATCGAGCGCTTCCTGCGTCGCCTGGAGTTTCATGCTAGCAAGGTGAGAGTTGGGGACTGGGGTCAGCTTGGGGCAACCTTGGTGCAGTGCTGGGGTGGCCGTGCTGTCTCCTGCCCTGCTGCTCACCACAGCTCGGGCCTGTCCTTGCAGATAGATGAGCTCTACGAGGCTTATTGCATCCAGCGGCGGCTCCGCGATGGAGCCCACAACATGGTCAAGGCTTACAGCACGGGCTCGCCAGGCAGCCGGGAGGCACGCGAGAGCCTGGCTGAGGCCAACAAAGGCTACAAGGAGTACACAGAGGTGAGGCAGCTGACTGGGATGAGCTGGCAGGGTGCTAGGTCTCATGGGTGGCTGCTAATGGGTGCTGTCCGTCTGTCTGTCCCCAGAACATGTGTCTGTTGGAAAACGAGCTGGAGAGCCAGCTGGGCGAGTTCCATGTCCGGATGAAAGGTAACATATCCCGCTCCATCCCTGGCCCGCTGCCTGCCTGCCTGCCTGCTGCCTGCTGATGCCCCTCTGCCTTCTCTTACAGGACTGGCAGGCTTTGCCCGGCTTTGTGCTGGTGACCAGTATGAGGTTGGTGGGACCATATGGGTTGGGATCTGCATTTCTCCTGCCCTGTGGTCCTTGGGCTGCCTGGGGGGCGTAGGTGGGCGCTGGTGTGGAGGGCATGCTACACAGCAGTGGTGGGTGGCATGGGTCCCTGGCCATGCCTGGGGTCATACAGAACGCACCCACCACCCTGGTGTTGTATCTCCACCATACCCACGCCTCTGTGTCCCTAGATCTTCATGAAGTATGGACGGCAGCGGTGGAAGCTGCGGGGGCGCATCGAGGTGAACAGCAAGCAGGTGTGGGACAGCGAGGAAATGGTTTTCTTGCCCCTCATCACTGAGTTCCTCTCCATCAAGGTACAGTGCAGAAGGGGGCAGGGATGGTATGGGCCAGCTACCACCCTGCATCCTGGCAGGGCTTCCCTCCAGGACCACACCTAAACCTCACCCTCACTGGGGTGGGAGGAGGCTGTCTGGTGGTGGTGGCATCCTGGTGCGCAGCACGGTTGCAAACAGCACGGATAAGATGAAGCCCACAGCTTCTTCTCATCCTCTCCTCCTTCTGCTTCTCCAGGTGACAGAGCTAAAGAGCCTGGCCAACCATGTTGTGGTGGGCAATGTGTCCTGTGAGACCAAGGACCTCTTTGCGGCTCTGCCCCAGGTAGTGGCTGTGGATATCAATGACTTGGGCACCCTCAAACTCAGCCTGGAAGTGACCTGGAAGTGAGTATCTCAGCAGGCATCGCTAGTAGCACATGTCAGAGCTGGGGATGCCCGGCACGGCGTGGCAAGAGGTGGCCTGCCCGAGGCTCTCTCCTATGCCAAAACTGGGCTGCAATTATGGAAAACCAGAGCTGGACTGGATGGGATCCTGGTGTCCTGCTTGTTGCAGAACAGGGTCAAGACCCCACCCAAGCTGGCACAAACCTCTCACCTCTCTGCTCTCTTCCACAGCCCCTTCGACAAAGACGACCAGCCCTCGGCAGCCAGCACTGTCAACAAGGCCTCCACAGTGAACAAGAGGTTCTCCACCTACAACCAGAGCCCACCTGACACGCCGTCCCTGCGGGAACAGGCTTTCTATGTAAGTGTGGTGCCAGGCAGGGCTGCTCAGGAGAGGTGGCCCATGGAGGGGTCTGCATAGGGATGTGCCCAGGCTACGTCCCAGAGGGTGGCACAGCTTGGGGATAGGGGTGGGCAGCTCTTCTCCAGCCGTATGGCCACGGCTCCCTGGTACTGGCACCCGCTCCTCCTATGCTCATAGCTCCTCTTCTCTCTGCCCAAGAGCCCGGGGCGGGCAGCTGACAAGCACGGTTGGTCCTTGCTGGACATCTTTCGGGAGACACTCTTCGAGAAGCTGTCTCAGAGCTGCTCGTGTGGCGATGTCTCCTCGGCCGAGCTTGGGAGATGGCCGCAGCAGGGCCGCGTAAGTGCGAGGGCTGGAGCCGGCCAGTAGCTTAGCCCAGCGGTGTGGACGTCCCACAGTAGCTGTAGCCGCTCCTTGCCTCCTACTCACTAGCCTTCACTGATGCCCAGAGGCCTGACCCTGCCAGGCCAGGGTCTGGCTGGCCTCGGGAAGACAGTCCCCAAGGTAGGGGAGCCTGGGTGCATGGGCCAGCCCTGCTCCTCTGTCCACACACCCTCGTGCGAGAGCCAGGCACTAGTGAGTAGGAGGCGTGTCTGTGTCCCTGCACTTGGTGGTGATGGTGTGCCGTGCTGTGGCGTTGGCATAGTGCTGGTGTGATGGTGCTCGTGTGGTGCTGGCATGATAGCACTGGTGTGACAGTACTGGTGTGGCACTCGCATGATGCTGTCATGGCGCTGGTGCGACACTAACATGGTGTAGGCGTGGCACTGGTTCAGTGATGGTGAACCACTGGCGTGACGTTGGCGTGATGGCCGGTGCTGCACCGCATGAGCTGGTGCTGGAGCTGTTGCCATCCTCGCAGCCATGGTGGGTGGTGTCCTCAGCTCCACACTTTGCACCCTGTGGCCATGCTCGAGTTGCCCGCCATGCTGGGGAGCCACTGGCACCCTGGGGCTCTGGGATGTGTGTGGCTGGGCCTGGGGAGCTGGACCCCACCCTGATCTGGGGTGAGATGCAGGGCTGGAAGAGGCAGCCGTGATCTGCCGGGTCCTTGCTGCCTGTCCTGCTGTGCTGGCAGAGCCAGGGGGGGGCGGCAGGCCGCGTTCAGCCTCTGGCTCGGCCAGATCCTGTCCCTGGTTGACGGGAAGGCAGCTGGAGGACCAGGGGCAGCAGGAGGGACTTGTCTGACACCATCTTCCCCCTCCTCAGAACATGCTGCGGCGCCAGGAGGAGCTGGAGAACGGCACGGCCTGGTCCATCTCCTCCGAGTCCTCGGACGACTCCTCCAGCCCCCAGCTGTCCGGCAGCGCCCGTCATGCTACACACAAGCCCATCGTGCAGCCCGAGGTGCAGACCTCCGCCCCCGCCATCGAGATCTCCTTCTCCCAGCAGCCGGAGGAGGCCGGAGCCGGGCCTGGGGCTAGTGGTGTCGGCGTCCCCCCTGCCAGAAGCCAGCCAGAGGATCCAAGCAGCCATAAGAAGGAAGCAGTGGCTAACGGGCATGTGCCCTACTCCCGGACTCTAAGCCATATCAGTGAGGCCAGCGTGGATGCCACGATGGAGGCCAAGGCTGTGGAATGCCCCTGGGAGACTGCGCCCAACCAAGGGGACATGGGGGTGGGTGAGAAGGACATGGACCCCCTCCCCAGCACCGCGGTGCCAGCCACTGCGGCAGGGCAGGACAGAGGTGCCGAGGCAAAGCCCCACGCCGCTGCGGTTTGGAGCACCACCTGTGAGGTGGAGGATGATGGGGCCGAGCCGGGGCAGAGCCAGGTGCTGGCACGGGGCAGCTGTGGCACCGGGGTCCTCGCGGCACTGGCACAAGCCTCTGTGGAGGAGAGACCCATCCCAGCCCCAGCACTGCCTGCCGGTGTTCCCGAGGTGCCACGGGGGAAGGTGGTGGATTCAGGTCTGGAGGAGGCCATTGGACTCCTGGGCTCGGCCTTGGATGACTATCGGGGGCAGTTCCCAGAGCTGCAGCCCCTTGAACGAGAGCTCAAGCGCCTGGAGGAGATGCTGCTGGTGAGGGGCTCCCAGAAATGCCCAGGGGCGAGGGGGGAGGGGGCCGTCCCAGCTGGTAGTGTCCAGGGATGATGGGGACAATGGGGATGGGGCCATCCCTGATGGCAGTGCCCAAGGACAATGGGGATGGGGCCAGCCTAGCTAGCAGTGCCCAGGGATGATGGGCACAGAGCCATCCCTGATGGTAGTGCCCAGGGATGAGGGTGGCAGGGCCATCCCTGATGGCAGTGCCCAGGGACAGAGGTTGCAGGGCTGTCTTGGCTAGCAAGCCAGGATCTGACACCACCATGCCTTCCTCTGCAGCAGAAGCAGGGCATCTTCCTCAGCCGAGCCTCCAGCATCAGCCTGACGGTGGAGCATGCACTGGAGAGCTTCAGCTTCCTCAACACGTCTGACATGGAGGACTCAGAGGGCTCCGAGGAGGAACCTCTCCAAGATGAGAGGTGCACAGCAGGGCTCGTGGGATGGGGCGCACGGCAGGATGTGGCCCTGGAGCAGTTGGGATGGGGGATGCCCAGCTCTGCCAGGTGGCCCAAGCCCATTTAGACCAGCCCATCACAGCTCAGGGCAGGTCCAGGTTGAGAAGCAGCAGGATCTGGCCCTTATGGTGGCAGAATGCCACCCTGCATCACTCCATGTGGGCTGGGCTGGGAGGCAGCCCCCATGCCCTGTGCCCCTAGCACCTGCTCCTTCACCCAGCCCTGAGGCCATAATATTGTAGGTCCTACACAATCTCAGTGTTGCCCTGTGGGTGGGGAAGGGCCGGGTCCAGGTTTCCTACGCTGACCTACTGCCTCGGTCCCTCCCTGGCTTGCAGAAGGGCTGGCAGACCCCAGCGTGGCAGCAGGGCCCCCAGCGCTGGTGAGACGGGGGCTGATGACACCGGCATGTGCAGTGGCTCTGAGGCCAGCACCAACCCCATGAGCACTGGCAATGAGTTCCTGGATAAGGCCCTGGTGCTTCACCTCAACAACTGCAACCGCCTGCTGCTGGTGAGGACAGGGCCTGGGGCACGGTGGCAGGAGACATCCTGGGGAGGGAAGCACTGGCGTCCTGCCTCGAGGGGTGCCGTGCTGCAGCATGGAGGCTGTGGTGTGGGCGGTGAGCTCTGTCCCTGAGGTGCCCAGTTTGGCTGTGCCTTGCAGAAGCTGGGCACCTTCGGTCCCCTGCGGTGCCAGGAGATGTACGCCCTGGACAGGCTGATGCGGGAGGCACAGGTGCTGGAGATTGTGTGCCAGCTGACAGAGGAGCGAGCGGGAGCAGCCAGCTCTGCCGCCGAAGGTAACTACACATGGCTGAGGGGACCGTCCATGCTGCCTTGGGGGTTGCGCAGGGCCCAGTCTCCCCTCTTGGGCATGGCTGGGCAGCGAGGGGCCATGCCAGCCAGAGGGCAGGAGACACCTGCCGGCTGCCGTGGCCCAGGGAGGCTTTGACAGCGCCTGTCCCTGCAGTGGTGCAGTTCTCGACACGGAAGGAGGGGGTGCTGCCCCTTTGGGACCGCTGCATGGAGCTGCCCAACGTCTACACCTGCCCCGTGGAGCGGTTCCTGCAGGTGCTCAGTGCCCAGTATGTGGCACCCATCAGCGAGCGGCACCCTGGCTTGGCTGATGCTGGTGAGTGGGCACCCAGGGGTGTTTGGGGAGGGAGTTGCCAGCCCCACTCAATGATCATGAGTGGGGGCCTATGGGTGCCAGGAGCACAGCATAGGTGTGGCCATAGCTGCTGCACACCCTGACCCCGGCCCTTTCCCGTAGTGTGTGTGAAACTGGTGGAGGACGTGCTGAATCGGCGGCTGCCCCGAAGGCCTGGCAGCACCCAGAGTGAGCAGATCACCGTCTTCCAGTACTGGAGTCACTTTGAGTCACTCGGCGCCCTGGTGCTCGACAATTACATGATGGAGCTGGCGGAGGAAGGTGGGTGCCGTCCCATCCTCAGAGCATCACGGTAGGGGATCACGCTGCAGCACCGCCATGACCACCCTGGGGCATCACCCAGAAGCCCTGCCATCCTTGGGGTGGGCAAGCAGGTCTGATACGGTGCACAGCCTGTTCCCACACTGCCTTCCTGAGCACGCTGGGTCCTTGCCATAGGTCCCCGGCATCTTGGCTTGGGCACCCCAGCAACCCCATGCATGGGGCCACCTCTGCCCGGAGCAGGCGCAGGGTGCCTGGGGCTGGGTTCCCTGCGGTGGCAGGGGCATGCGGGCAGTGCCACCAGGCTTCCCACGCCTTGGCTCAGCTGGTGGTTCCCTGCAGCGCTGCTGGCACAGAACCTCGACTCGGACGACCAGGACGTGGTGCTACGTGCCCTGAAGCGTGTGCCCGAGGGCCGCTTGAAGAAGGACGGACTGAAGGCACTGAGCCTGCTCCTTGTGGAGGGCAACAGCAAGGTGGTGAGCGCTGTGTCGGCCCAGCTCCGCAGCCTGGCGGAAAACCCTCGCTTCCGCCAACGGGTACGTGCCAGGCAAGCCAGTTATGAGGTGGGCTGACCCCCAGCTCTGCCGTTGGAGGTGGCACTGACCCCACACATCTCCCCCCCAGGCTCTTGTGTGCTACCTAGAGCAGCTGGAGGATGAGGAGGTGCAGACACGTGTGGCAGGGTGTGCGGCGCTGGGCTGCCTGAAGGTGAGAGGGACGTGGGGAGGAGGTGGCAATGCAGTATCTTCCAGAGGAAGAGGAATCACATGTAGCTGGCAAGTCCGCACACACCTGCACAGCCTCCTGCTCTTGGGAGAGGAGCCGGGGGTGCCCCAAATGTGCCAAAGAACCAGGAAGAGAAATGGGGAGGGAAGGGACACGGACAAGGAATCATCGAATGGTTTGGGTTGGAAGGGACCTTAAAGACCACCTAGTTCCATCCCCCTGCCATGGGCAGGGACACCTTCCACTAGATCAGGTTGCTCAAAGCCCCCCATCCAGCCTAGCCTTGAACACTGCCAGGGAGGGGGCAGCAACAGCTTCTCTGAGCAACCTGTGCCAGTGTCTCACCATCCTCACAGTGAAGAACTTCCTAATCTAATGTCTAATCTAATTCTCCCCTCTTTCAGTTTCATCCTATAACTACAGCCCCTGATCAAGAGTCCCTCCCCACCTTTCCTGTAGGCCCCCTTTAAGCACTGGAAAGCCACTATAAGGTCTCCCCAGAGCCTTCTCCTCCAAGCTGAACAGCCCCAGCTCTCTCAGCCTGTGCTCATAGGGGAGGTGCTCCAGCCCGCTGATCATCTTTGCTGAAGCAGGTCCATGTCTGTCTTATGCTGGGGGCCCCAGAGCTGGATGCAGCACTGCAGGTGGGGTCTCACCAGAGCAGAGTAGAGGAGGAGAATCCCCTCCCTTGACCTGCTGGCCACACTTTTGATGCAGCCCAGGATGCAATTGGCTTTCTGGGCTGCAAGCACCCATTGCTGGCTCATATTCAGTTTTTCATCCACCGACACCCAAGAACTTTGCTGCAGCATGGGGCTGCAGCACCCTGTGTTGCCTTCCTCTCCGGGCTCTGTCCCCACTGCCAGCCATACTCAGCCCCTTGTCCCTTCTCCTGCAGGCCAAAGAGAGCATCGAGCAGCTGATTTACCTGTGCCAAACTGACAAGGAGCCTGTGCGGGAGGCAGCCAAGCAGAGCCTGATGCTGTGCGGTGAGTGTTCTGCTGCTCCTTTCCACTCCCTCCCCACCAACAGCATCCCGAGCAGCATCTCCTGGTGCCAGCAGTGCCTGTGGGAGAAGGGAGTCCCAGGCTGGTACCTGCCTACCCTGCGCTCTGGCTCATCATGCCCTACGGTCTGCCAGGCAAAAGCAAGTTGGCAGTGGGCAGCAAGGGCCAGGCATCCTGTGTCCACAGAATACTAAGCCTCGTTGTTATTTATTATTTGCTAGATGGCACTGAGAGAACTATCTGAGTGTGTTTCTAGGCCTCCAGATCGTGGCAGCTGCTGCACAGGTTGGGACACGTGAGCCATCCTCATCCCCCTGTCCCTGCTCCTGCCGCTTTGCTCACGAATGTCTCCGTCTTAGAGCCTGTCAGCCATGTCATGTTTTGGAGTCTGTGTGTCTTGGTTGTTCATAGAGCCCATCCCCGTGGCACCCCCGCACATGTGTAGACACCTTGTGTCCCACGTCACAGCAGATTGTCCATGTCACCACCTTTTTGCTGGGGATGGCTGCTGCGGGCAGATTTGCTTGCGGGGGTGCTGGGTGAAGATCTCAGAGCCAGCTTGTAGTGTGGATGTGTGTATCCCTGTGTGTGCCCAGCGGTCCTGGGGAAGCCGACGGGATCCCCATGCCAGTGCATGCAGATGTGCACAGCTGTTTGAGACGCTGGAGCTGGCACAGCCCTGAGCCCTGGCCCCTTTGCCCCAGGCCAGTGCTCCTGCAGTCCAGGTATGGGTGATCCCTGCCTCTTGTGGACATGGGTACAGCAGGCATGAAGAACAGGATTTGCAATATCTGAATCAGGAGCTCTTGGCGACCTTTTGAGCCAGATCCTGGCTGGGACCTGCCCAAGAGTGTGCTAAGGAGGACAAGAGAAGGCTCCACTTTGGCGGTAGCATGCTGGCTCAGCTCTGCCAGGGGTTAGCCATGTCTCCCTGGAAAGGCCGGAGAAGGTGGCTGAGGATGGGCAGGGAACAGAGCTTCTGCAGCTCGGTTCACTGACCATGGTGTTTACTTGCAGGGCAAGATGGTAAATCAGCTCACCGGCGGCTGGAGGAGACCCTGGACAGCCTCCCAAGGATCTTCGCACCAGCCAGCATGGCCAGTACAGCTTTCTGAGACGCCACACAAACCCACCTGCCATCCCTTGAGGGAAGAGGCACCGCTGGGCCACCCGGGCTTGCATGGACTGAGGCCAGCCGGGACCCGGCAGCTCCCGCTCCCAGCACCACACCGCAGTATTACCCTCGCCAGCAGCTCACCGTGGCCGCACACTGCCTTACGGAGCACCGCTTCCCCTGTCCCCAGCCACCAGCCCTGCGGGGTGCCACGTACGCACCCCTGGGCAGGGGGGGCTTGCTGCACATCCCACCCTCTGATTGCTATTTAAAATACATGGGGAGCCCACCCTTCCTGCCCCCATCATTGGCTACAGCTGCTGGGACCAGAGCGGCAGGGAGGTGTGCCTCCTCTTGCCTTCCTCTTGCTCGAGGGCACATGCCCTGTCCTGGAAGGACCTGCACTTTGGAAACCACACCGTTTCTTTCCAGGAGTTGCCGGGGCCATGGGGACTGCTGCCCTTTGCCACCTGGAGTCCCCAGGACTTAAATAAAATGAAATATGAGATATTAATATATTCTGCTGGCATTTCTTCTTTCCAGCTCCACGTGCTCCTGTCCCTCCCCGGCTATGGCTGTAGGGAATGTAGTGAGATGTGGCCCCAGCCCAGAGCCTTTCCTGGTCTTTTGGGAAGTGTTGTGGAGGGCAGGGGCAGGAGGAGCAACAGAGGGACGGACAGACGGACGGACAGAAGCTGCCACCGTTTTAGTTTTGTTTTGTTTTATTTTATATTTTATTTACAGATTTTTGCAGAAAAACAAAAGCAAAAAATTCTTTTCTATAATGTCTCTATAAATCTATATATAATGTAATTACAGAGAACGACTAATTTTGATTTTAAACCAGAAATAAAAACAAACCTTTAATGAGTGACTGTGTCGCTGTGCGGGTGTTTCTTTGGCCCCGCTGCCCAGGGGCAGGGTAAGCTGGGGGTCAGCATAGCAGGCAGGAGGGTGGCTGGGGGTCTCACAGGGCGTAATTCTGATTTCTGACATGATCCAGGTGCAGCCCTGCCCCGCACCTCAGCCACCAGCAAGCTCCAGCCTGAGCCAGCACTGGGGCTGCTGAGTGCCTTTCATGGCCAGGAGAGCAGGTACCCGTCACCTAGCAGAGGGCGCAGAAGTCTTGGCCCTCCTGGCTTGGCACAACCGAGACACAGAGCATTGCCCTGGCCGTGCGTGGCGCTGCCTGGTCCCACGGCACGCCTCACTGTCCTGCCTTCCAGGGATGCTGTCACTGAGGGGATTTAAATGCTATTTCCAACACTGCCTTTATAAACCTGGAGACAAATGCTTCTGAACTGACAAAGCTGCGCTCAGCTGGGTGTTTCTCAGGTGCTTGGAAAGCTGAGCATCAACGCTGCTCTCATGGTGGCCTTTGGTTTCACCAAAAGGAGAGCAGGTCTTTTCAGCAGTGGAAGGAGTTTCCAACTTCCCTGAGCTTTGCAAAGGTTGCTGAGATGTTACCAAGCTTTGGCTGCTGGGCATGGGAAGCATCACTCAAGGTGATATGAGGTTGCTACACAATTGGGGTGTCCAGCCCAGGGAGCTGCCGAAACCAAGGCTGTCTCAGGAACAGTAGCAGTGTTCCCAGGGCAGCCCTGGTTTCTACTGTCTTCTGTACCTGTGGTGGGAACACACCATGGCGCCTGACCCGACGCCAGTGGGACCCGAAGTCCAGGGAGCCAGGGACAGAGCTCACCCTGCAGAACTGGTTTTTCAAACCCGTCCCCATAGAGATTTGGCACCTCTTGGTGTGGGTCTCATCACTGAGCCACAACGGATCAAAGACTCACAGAACAGTTGAGGTGGGAAGGGACCTTTGGAAATGCTTGTCCATTCCCCGCTGCTCAGAGCAGGGTCAGCTAGAGCTCGGGACCACATCCGGTCGGGTTTTGAGTATCCCCAAGGACAGAGATGCCAGAACCTCTCTGGCTAACCTGTGCCAGTGCTTGACCATCCTCACAGAAAAAGCTTTTCTGAAGTTTAACTTGAATCCCTGTAATTCAACTTCAGTTTGCTGAGGAGCACCTGCCTCTGCCTTCTTTCCCCCCGCCAAGTATTAATAGACGCAGATAAGACCCCCCCCAGCCTTCATTTTTCCAAGCTAAGATGTCCCAGCTCTCTCAGCTTCTTCTTATATGACAGCTGCTCCAATCCCTTAATCATCTTAGTGGCCCTTATAGTCCCAGGAAGGGAGTAGGTTGAAGCAACAGAGGCAGGGACCCCCACAGCACTGCCCCGTGGTGCTGCCAGCCACCCGCGCCGGAGCAGGCAGTGATTGCACGGGCACTGCCAGTGCCAGTGGAGCTGGGGATTCACGGCCCCCAGGCCGAGCAGGGTCTGTCCATCAGCACTTCCTGGAGTTTCTAAGCAAGTCCCAGCCGGTTACAGCCTCCATGTCCCTTCTCTTCACTGGAGCAGAGCTTTTTGGGCTGGCTCAGGTGGAATGCCAGACACACAGGGCATGGCCAGCCTGCAGCTCCATGCTAACGCTGCATGGCATGTCACAGTGCAATGGGTGACCCAGATGGGACACTGCCTTAGTGTAACCATTTTTGGATGCAGTTTTATCTGCAGATGGGATTGCGGGAAGGGGGTAACCGGGGGACACTTTGCTGCATCACTGCTCGCTTAGCTGCCTTCTGCCTGCTTTGGGGGCTGGACAAGCCCCAGGAGAGAAGCACAGCATTTCTCCCAAAGCACTGCATCACACTGTCAGCTGTAGGCAGCACGAGGTGTGGGACGTAGGTCCGAGCTAGGACATACAACTGTGGACAAGAGCAGCCGGGATGTGGAAAGTGGCCCATACATCTTATACATTTGGTTTGGTTTCTTTTATGCCCTGAATAACTCCTGGAAATAAAACCAGCCCAGTGCCTCAGTGGCCAAAGCCACAAATTCAATTTGCTTACCTACATGGGTGTTCTCCTTGCCCTGCTGAAACCTAGTCCCATCAATGCAGCACAATACCACCTTCCAAGATAAGCTACACCTCGGCTGCAGAGACATCGGAGCAGGAACGCAGCCTTCTGTCAGGGCAGGCAGGGAGCTGTGGGTCAGAACAAAATGACTCTGCTCCTGGAAATGCAAGGAATAATCTCATTATTTATGTGGCCTTAAGAACATCTGGGGGACCCCCCCTCCAAACAGATTAATATAGGAATCTGTTGCCCAGCCCCTTGCTCTGAATGGGTCTATGCCACCATTGCCAAGGACCTGCCCCACAGACACTGCCAGGTCACCTGGAATTGCAGGATTGCCATTTTAACTGGAATAAACTTCCAAAAAAAAGTCTTGTTTTTGAACAGCACTCACTTAAAGCATTCACTGCGGTTTGCATCCTGCTTGGTTTTTTTTGATTTGAGGGCTGGGGCGGAGTAGAACAACCATCACAAGAGCCAGCCCTTTGAAAGGAGGCAGGGGTCTCAACTTTTCCCTTCGGGATTTAATGTCTCCTCCAGCCCTTCTGCAGGAACCGCATCACTTTGTGGGGTGAACTCCCCGGGAGCCACTCTCACAGCATGCAGGGACGGACACAGCGCCGCGGAGCGCGTTTTGCGGCAGCCTGTTTGCTGCTTCAAAGGAGACAGTGTGCCAGCACCACATTTGTCAGCCAAATCTGTGTCAGCGCTTAAAACGTCTCCCTCTCGTACAGACGTGCTTGTGCTCAGCAGCACCGATGACTGCTGCAGCTACTTGCTTTTCTTGTAGGAGCTGCAGCCTGTAGGAGGGTGTCTGTGTCACGGTTACAGTACCCATGTGCTTCGGCTTTGAAAAGATGTTCCTTTTCCCCATTTACTGCTGCTTTCCTTTTAATTAAAGCGGTGCATATGGATTCTGGAGCACTTTGCGGTATTGGTTTTCACCTGCTGCTCTCAGGGCTGTGTTCTGAGGAGCCTCTGCAGATCATCAGCACAAAATAACTGATCAACCAACGTACCCTCCTCTTGCACAGCATCGGGGCTGCTGCAGCTGCCCAGGTGGTGGCACCAAGAGCATCCACCAGCCAGAATGACCCCAAGTAGATGCTGCCACTTTGGAGTCCCACAAGCTCCAATCAGCTCTCGTGTAAGAAATGACCTAAACCTTGATGCCAACTCATTTTTAGGGGGTTGTAGTTTGGGAATCTCTGGCTTGAGCATCCCCAAAGTTGGACCTCTCACTTATCCCAGGCTTGTTTGAAATCATGTTTCCATGGTGTTCACTAGGGGACTAAGAAATCGTTTGAACAGCAAAGTAGTCTGCGGTGAACCACAGCAAAGCAACAACCTCCTCATATGCACTGACCTGTTCCTCGCAGGGCTGTCAGGCACATACGCACAGGCTTGTTCTCCAAGGACCGCTCCTAAGGTGACAGCTGGGGCCTCATTTCATACAGAGACCAAAGTGTGCTCCAGGCAGTCTCTGAAACTTAATTTAATGCTGGCTCTCAAACTCAACTACTGTCTTCCTTAGAGATGAGTGAGGAGAGGGCTGGTGACTCCTGAGGGCTTGTACAGAATGAGGGTGATGGAAGCACGGAGCTAGGAAGCGCAGGGAACGAGGGGGCTGAGCTCATCCAGGGCCTCAGCAAGGCGGTCAGGAGCTCCTCAGCTTCTTGCCATTCTGCTTGTGAGCAAGGTGTCTCTGGGAAAGGCCTCCGTCAGGCAACTTTCTAGAAGGAGCATCTGCCTCTGGGTGTCTAATTTGGATGGGCTCGGAGGCTGATTTTCAGGAGCACCCACAATTAAGACTGAAGCTGGGAGCTTGAATCCTCTGCAACCCAGCTCAAAAGCGCCTCCAAGTGAGAAACCCAGGATCAATAGGTCAGACTGCCAGCACAGGCTGGGACACTTCTGGCAGGAGAAGTCCAGGCATAGGTGTTTGCCAGAACGACTTCTGTTTCCTAAGTAGTGACATTCCTACTACAAAAGGACAAGCGACCGATTGTCGTAGCATGGCTACAAACAAAAGGCTGAGGGATCATTAGCACTCATTTACTCCCAGCCCTGGGTGAGTATTTAAAGGAGCATAATAAGCAATTTTACATAAAGCCAGGCTCCCCTCCATTTTGATTCATGCCTGAACTAAGTTTCGTCCTTAAGGCAGCATTCACGGTTTTACACACGAAAGAGACGCCATTCTCCCAAAAACTACAGC